GACGATATTCATTTTTTTAAAAAAAGAGTACTTGAGAAGCCACTTAAACAACAGATCACTTACAATCCAGCTTATTTTGACAGAATTTTCAGAAGATGCAAAGTTTTAGAATATACATATATACTTACCTGTATAAATATATAAAACATTATGTATTATATATAATGTATATAAATATAACATTTAAAAATATATAAGTGGCCTATTTATTATATTTAGTATATATAGTTAAACAATTTTAGAACATTATAAAATATATAAATAATATAAGTATATTATATATCTATATAACTGTATATCTACAGCTATATATATATATATATATATATATATATATATATTTATACATAGTTTATAAACTATATAGGTATAGTTTATAGATAAACTATAGAGATAAAAATACAGATATATATGTATATAAGAACCTGAAGGACTTCCACTGAGGCAGACAGTATTGAGAGTATACCCTGATTTAAATAACTAGAATGGGTGTATGATTAGAGACCTTCAGAATGAACAAATAAGCTATCATTGTACCACACAGCTCTCTATCATATAATTTCCCTCTAAAAATAATATAATGAAAATACTACCTTTGACTTCAGTATCACAAAAAAACTCATAGATACTAATTAATTTGTTCTCAGCTAATCTCCTCCAAATCCAATGAGATAAAACCAGGTACATATTACCACTCATTTCACACACAAAGGACCCAAAGTTATAAACATACAGCGCCTTTTTTCCAGGGAGTGACAAGCTTCTCCTGACATCCTGTCCACTGCCCTTTCAACACCACCATGCACAAGTACGGGGGAAGTCCCAGCCCCAGAAGGGAGAGGGAAGCTAATCTTTCTCAATTTGATGGGACTTTAGAAACAGAAATTGGGCCGAGGGAACCTCCATCATTAAATTCATGCAGACACACACACACACACACACACACACAACCACACACAAACACACACACACACACACACACACACAGGGTCTCTTTTCTCAATTTCAGTTCAGACTTCTCTATCTTATATTTCTTTTTCTAAAGGCACATTTGGAGATGAAACCATTCATAACTGCCCATCCACAGACAGTTTGTGGCAGCATAATTGACAATGAGTCTGCTGCAAAAAAAATGAAAATGCTGTTTTAATAACCTCGGCCTAAAATACATTTTGTTGTATGCCTCAAAGGGTTTCAATAAAAAGTCAACCTGTAGAGACATATTTTCTTGGCTTAAACAACAATCCAAAGCATATAAATGTAGTCCAACTATAATGACATATTTATAGGCCAATAAAGCTTACACTGCAGCTTTCATACTTCACTTAAAGGAACTCTGTAAGAAGCAGTGTTATATAAAATAATTTGATTTTTTTTCAAACTATAGCACAAGAAATAAAAAAAAATGCAAGTTTGCTATGTTTAACTGATAGTATTTATATTCCTCAGTTGCTAAAAATTTGTAAAATGAAGCAATTCTTCATTTGACTACTTCCAACTGCCATACCAAATATGGGTATCAAGTCCACTTTATTACAAAAGCTAAGTACTGTAATTCTAAAGACAAAAATAAATAACTAGAGGCTTGTGTAGTGAATGATTTAATCAACCCGATTCTTCTGGAAAAACAGGTTCTTGTGTTCGTTATGCTTATGAATAATACATTCCTTAACCCTTCTATTTTAACATAGTTATTTTTCTTCATTTTTAAAAATAAACTTCAGCATGAAATAGACTGAAAGAAGGTAAAACATCTTACCCAGTAAAATCACAATTTGCACTGGTTTCATATGGAATTTTCTTTGAAAAGGACAAAGAAAAGAGAAGACGTGAAGCCACTTTACCATATCTCACAAGTGTTTTTTAAAGATGACTAGTTTTTCCACTACACTTCTCTGTAATTTTAGTCAACAGTCATTTAGAGTCTTAAATGAAAACTCCAGAGATTTTTAAGAAACAAATGGGTCATCCTCAAATATTGTCCAAATGTGCCCCTTCAAGAAGGAAGGGGTATAAAAAATGAAAGACTTGTGATTTGAATCACAGCAATTATTGGAAGCTGCCGTTTGAGGCAGAGTTTCTCTTTGTGGAGTATTAATTTGTTGGCAGACGCGTATTTGTGAGAACATTCTTGGTTTTTTTTTACTATTCAGAGACAGGAAGTGACACAAACTGGGATTAAAGGGAACTTATTCTACCTAAACACAGAGCAAGAAGAGTTATTTAATTACCCTGGATATTTTAAAGTCCCTTCTTTAAAAATCAACCTAATTTCTTTCTTTATTATTAATTTTGTGACAGGATGAAATCACTCAGTTAAAAAAAAAAATAACATGTTAAGAATTTTACTTTATCCATAGAAAGGTGAGATCTTTGCATTCTTTGTTTACTTTCACCAGGAAAAAAAAAAAAAAAGAGGAGGGTCTTAGGTAATCTCAAAGTTCATCTTTCTTTGGTAAGAACAATGAGAAGTTGGAAGGGTTCTACAGAAGGAAAAACCTAATAAGTGTGTGAACTTCCATTAACAATGTGGTATTGGAGATGGTTTCAGTGTGGCCAAGAGAAAGAGAGATAAGAAAACCACTGTGTAGAAAGAAAAGTAGAGACAACAAATATTTTGATGTTGCACACAGAGAAAGGAAGAAGCTAAAGAGAGAGTTGGTGGGACAGGATTGTGTACAGCAAATGACACCCCCTCTCTCCCCAGTATAATTCCTGACAATGTCGACTTACAAACCTTAGATCAGGCAGATAATGGAAACTCATTACATTAAGGAAAGTTTTTGTTTCTCTTTCCACATTATTACAACACAGTGTGCATTCCAATTACAAAAGCTATTTGTCTCAAATTCCCCACAGTTCATACCGACTGAGTAGAATTTCAAGGCCCTAAATTCTATCCTTAAAGGGGTAGTTTACATTAAAAAAAGAAAAGGTACATGGTGTTTCTTGCCCACCAAATCTCCTGTTGATTATTTTCCTGTCCTCAGCACTAATCTTGGAGTTGTCTCTCAAGACTAGGAAAAAAAAAAATTCTGAATTACTTAGCAAGACTTTTATCAGCACACATTCTTGGGCCTTGCCTCAGTCCAACCTGGAAGAATCTGAGGAAGCTGAACCCAGTAATCAGTATTGCTTTTTAAATTCCCCTAGTGAATCTGAAGAGTAACTAGATTTAAAAACCACTAAACTAGATTTTCCAGGCCAAACCACCTGCAAGTATTTTGAATATTGTCTATAAACCCACTTCTTCTGGAATCAATTTGTAAAAAAAGGTAGATTATGGATATTTTTTAGAATCCAAGAGATCAAAGTCTCTAAATCTTTTTGATGGAATTAAGAAATTGGTTTTCTTTTCATGCTCATTAATAAACTATCCACTTGAAACACAAAACAACCCTGCTATAAATACTCTTGTTTATATGTGTGACATCAAGCTTAACCATCTACACATCCTTTTGTCCCCCGTGGGTTTCCTGTTTAATTTTTTTTATTAGTAACAGTATATTCCACAACTAAAAAAAAAAATCAAACAAAGAAAGGTTTTAATGTTAAGGAAAACATAAGACAATGGCAATACATCTTAGATCCTACATTAGGAAAGCAACAGAACGGATGTATTATTCAGCATTTTCACACGTCATGAGGGTAGTCATTGTGCGTTCACAAAATTGGGGCATGTGACAGTATATATAAGAAGACTATTAAAAAATTCTTTGGCTTTAGAAAGAAAACCCTGGCTTCATACTTTTCTTTAATTGTGCACATGACAATCAGGCTGCCATGTCCCAAATATTACCCTCTGACATCAGTAAACTGTTGACTGGCAAACTGTAAGTCAATATTAATGCTGTTCCCAAAACACAGCACAGCTCGTCACAAACCAGAATCATATGAAAGACCCAGTCAGTTACTGGTGTTATTCAGTTTCTTTATGCCAGTTAAAATAAATCATCAAGGTTTCTTGTAATAGTTAAGTTCTAGGTTTAAAAAAAAAAAAACAGGAAGTTGCCACATTAAGGCATAAAATAGGGCTGCGAAAATCAGCATTGTGTTAGAATGAAAGAAAAAGATCCCTTAATATGTTAAAAGTGAAGTTCCTCTTTGCCTAAAGAGGAAATAACTAGGCTAAATCAGAGGTCAACAACTTTTTGGTCTTGAGCAATGCTAAGAGAATAAGTCAGTGAAGGCAACAGGAGGATATTAACAAAAGGAAAAGAACAAAGAAAGAAATCATGGAGGAAGAAGAAAGTGTTACAGCAACAGAATCAATTATGCAGTCCCTTGTGTCTGTCATCACCAGGCTGGACTCTTTACACCTCTCTTCTCACAATGACGCTATTTTTCACAAGGGGAAACTGAGGCTTTGGGGTTAAATTATTTGCTTAAAGCCACACAGCTAAGTAGGTGTCAGAGTTAGTGTTCAAGCACTAGTCATACTCCAAAGCTCCTTTTCTCCTTTAAACTTATAGTAGAAGAGGGAGAGGTAAAAAAGAAAAGAACACAGTTGAATGCTTAGAGCTCAAGGAAATCCACTTCATAAACTGCCAAATCCATGGATCCCCTGCCTCCGGTAGCTCTCTCACTTCATATTAAGTAACTCATCTCTTTTCCTCACTTGGCCCTCTACCCATTGTAAAACACAAAATTCTGACATGGCATTAATAGATGGGGCACTGACTACTTAACAACAAATATTTAAACTCTTCATCAATTCAATTTTAGGTGCCTGAATTTAAGTCTCATGTCTTGATGGTGCCCTATAAGTTGTTTAAGGACATCACTCAGCACAGGGCTCTGTGATCCGACAGGGAACACCTGTTCAACCATTCCTCACCCACCCCACTAACATCTCTCCATCTGTATTCTCAGTCCCTTTTCAGCATAAAGTGTGAATACACACATGGAGATACACTTCACTAGAAAAAAAATCTACAACTAAAAAGGTAGGTTACGATCTATACCCACGCATTGGATTTAGAAGCAAGAATCATATTTACCAAGGTCGGCCTTTTCCTTGAGAACATCTTTGAAATTGAGTCCGCTGTTGAGGGTGGACTGCCTGTACTTCAGCAGAGCCTCTCGCTGTCCATTTCTTCCCAATGTCTCTGCTTTCACTGGCCCAGCTCGTAGGCCACATCTCCACTTGGAGAAATCAGAATGGACCCACTTGACCAGGTCTTCAAGCTTCACTATCACCTTTTCAGAAACAGCAATGACTTCATCCTACAAGAGGTGAGATGGGCAAAAAATATTATTTATGGGTTAAAGATAAATGATACACTCTCCCACACAGCCCACCTGAAATGCCATGTGAATGTTTAACCTTAGACAAGCAGGCAGTGTGTTTTTCAATATCAGAGGATCTCCAATAACTTACTGGAGATTTATTGTTTTTTTTCACTGCTGGTTATTTAAACAATAATTTAAATGATATATTTGTTACACAATTAGAAAGTATCCAAAAAAAAAAAAATAGGCAGTAATCCTAATAGCCATTTTGAATGCTGTTTGCAAAGCTCACTCTACCTTAATCTCACCACTTGGGCAAAAGCTGATTTTTAGGTGCAATTAATTGCAAATGTAAAAAGCAAGGGCTAGATGACTAATCGTTAGCCTGTCTCCATATAAATGGTCTAAGTAAATCTAGGATTCTTGGAACTCTGACTCACCCCAAAATTCCTATGTTTATGGTACATTTTCCCTTGGCTTATACACAAATATTGAATTTAACTTTTGTCCTAAAAATTAAATAAAACTGTGATGTAATCCCAAAAGAAATACTTCATAAATGTTATGTGCTTCCCACTGAAAGAAACTTACACATTCTCATGTTTCTTGAAAACTTTGTAAGTTGAGAAATGAACTGATTTTTTTTCTTTTAATACATATGGGGTAGGGGGTGAGAGGGTGGAGTAAGGAGAAAGTCTTTGAATCTAAGAGAAGAAGTTGAAACTTAAGTTCCTCCTATGGATCATAAATTTGAATTTTAAGCATCTCTAATTGCTTCCAGAAAACAACCAACTTTTCTGCTTCAGAATTAATCCAGCAAGATATTTAATAGATATCCATACATGGAACAAAGGGAAGGCTCCCTTGCCCAACAATTCTTTGAAAAAGGCTTATAAAGATTGTCTCACTGGGTTTTAAGTTAAATTATTTGAAGCATTTGACATTTCCACTTGCACTGACTCCTTTTATTTCTTTTACTTCACATTTCTGAAGAAGGCTTAGCTGTGAAAACCCCTAAGCTTACAAAACCTTCAAAATATTTTAGACAAAACAACAACAGGAAGATGTCTCTAAGCTATTAAAGACAAGGAATTCACAACTGATTTTGGCTAATTTTACTGTTAAACATAACTCTTTCCTCCTTCCCCCACCTACACATATGCACACACCCCCACACCCCCAACACACACACACACACACACACACCACTGCAAACACCACTTCGATTCAAACCAAAAGGGGTTTATTAAGATAAGCTTCACATAATAAGAAGCCCTGATTTAAGTTTCTAAAAAGTTTTAAGGTAGGATCTAAAATTTCACTTTTCCTCACCCAGTCCCAAGTTGCTCTTGAAAGAAAGTTTACTAGGCAGCAGAAAGTAACAAATACTCTATCAAAAATGAAAAGTAAAACTTTGGTAATGGAATCTTTCCCCTTATCATGATCAAATATGAACTTCCACTAAAGGAGAAACTAAGTGGAAAATGTGTTTTCATCTTCTGCTCAAGAAAAAAAATTTCAATACTTTATCAACAATGGGGCACATTACAAAGTACCATTTCAACGGGTGATTTCATCCAGACTCACCACACTATCCTCTTGAAATAAAAGATCTGTAGTTGTCATGCATTTTATAGCTATTACATGGTGATTATTAAATGTCAGAATAAAAACTCAGACTGGGTATTGTTTCAAAGCATATGGGAACAGCTTCTGGACAGGACATACCAGCAATCAAATCTAGATTGTACTGGAAAATAATTAAGTTGCATGATATATCAGTCTCAACGTTAGTAAAAATGGAATTTGGCACCATTCTGACCAAATAAGGTTTCCTAGAATAGACAAGTTTGGAGATGAGTGTTATTTTCAAATAGCTCTGACTATGATCAAATGATTATCATTTCAATTACCAGTTGCTTCAGATCTTTTCCAAGAAATGGCATGACTAGCTCTGGCAGGCTTACAACACCCGCCAAACAAATAGTTTATTAACCAAGAGAAAATACAATCCTTCTGATGTCACTGATGAATCAACTCATCTTTCAAGATTCAGTCTATAGATTCTGTGCTTGTTCCTTTTCTCTCACACACACATAAAAAAAATGCAGGAATTCACATAAACATGCAAACCATAAACCCCAGTTTGTATTAATTGTGAAACAACCAGTATGTTTTATTATGGATTCACAGAGAAACTGGCCCTGCAACATTGTTAAATGACAGAATTTAAAAGGAAATCTGATAAGTGGAGGAGGGCGAAACAGCAAACCAATCTCCAAAAAACAAAACAGTCAACACACAAGTAGAAAATGTCTCAGGAAACATTGCTTTGAACACACAGTGGCATAAATCACATGCTCATATTTACTATTCTGAGCAAGTGCTGACTAAAGCTCCTAATATGTACCATTCTTGGGCAAGTCTCTATGTCTAAGAAAAGAATTTCAATAAGCTCATCTCATGATTACATTAGCTCTCTGCAAACTGAGAATTAGCACTGGATAAATATTGCTGATTTGCTCTAATACAACACAAAAGGAACACAAAGAAATACACTTTGTTATTCTATTAATGTGCCTTGACTTTTCAATTAACCCAGCTCTTAATCAATATTTATGTAGGCTGTGTTAAGACACTTTTTAAGTCCTTATCCCCCTTCATCGTTGTTTAAAATTATTTCTGTAATTCGGATTTTGTTTCTACCACTGTACAAAAACAGCCCATTTAATCATGAATCCTCTAAGTCAGAGGAGATAATCTAGTCAAGAAATCACAGACCAGCCAGCCGGTGTATATGCCTGGTCCCTCCAACTGTTTAAAGAATTGGAAATTTAAACAAAAATGTCCAGACTTCAACTTTCTCTTATAAAATAAAACAAAGAAAAAGAAAAAAAAAATAAAACAAAACCAAAACCAATAACAAAAAACCACTTGAAACTAAGCTGCAGCAGATGCCTTCTTTAGACAAGATGTAAAATCCCCACCACTCATTATCACATTATATTTAGTCCACTCTTCCCTGACCTGCCTGGTACCATCAAAGGTACATTTTCATTTATACCCACAGATTCAGTCCATCTCATGTTATTGATGAGGACAATGAGCTTCAGTGGCATGTCCTGGTATCAACTTATGGCAGGATTTAGATGAGGACCTGGGTTTCTTTTCTACCAACACAGCACCTTAGACTGCAGCCAGAATGCCTGGGTTCAAATCTCAGCCCTGGAATTTACTTCCAATGAAACATAGGACAACTTCTTTATACTCCCTGTGTTTCAATTTTTTTTTTCATTGATGAAAAGAAAAAAAAAAAAAGGATTACACTGTCTACTCTTACATTAATTGCCTGGATTCAATGGGTTGGCACAAATGAAGTAATGCCAGATTTAGCTATGTGTCATTACTTCTCTATATTGATGTTTTCCAAAGTGTAGCATGCCTAGATGAATTCAGGTCTTTCACAGGGAAACTTTATATAAAGTTATTCGTTGTTTATCTATTGTTGCTCTATTTATGGAAAAGTGGTACTGGTTTTCTACTTTTAGGAGATATAGAAAGTTTCCTTTTTAAATAAATTTAAGCCAATAAGTGGATCACTTTTTACAAAGCCATTACAGAAACAATGGGGATATGTGGAGATGGGGGGGACAAGTTTTTGAAAAAATGAATGAAATTTCGGACGACATGTTTTATTAGTGGTTCTTAAAGTAAAGTCCAGGAAGCCTTGGAAATCCCTGAGACCCCTTCAGGTGGTCCAGTGGGTGAAAACAGCAATTCTAATCATATCAAGACATAGGCTTTTTTTCTCACTCTCATTCTCTTTCAAGTGTGCAGTGGGGTTTTCCAGACCTGTGACATGTGATATCACAACTGTCTGAATGCAGAAACACATACGTGAATCCAGCTCTCTATTAAGCCAGACAGTAAAGAGATTTACAAAAAACATAAAACCATGCCACTGTTTCCACTGATCTTTTTGTTTTTGAGAATATAGTTAATTTTCATTAAAATGTGTTACATTTTCATAGTGGGTTTATATTGGTATTTTAATTTATTATTGTAATTAATTTAGAGTAAAATTTCCTTTTTTTTTTTTTTGGTATACAGTGCTGTGAATTTTAACACAAGGACAGAATCATAAAACCAGTATCACCACAATCACTAGATATAGACCAGTCCATCACCCTCGAAAGCCCTTCGTATTATGTTGTATTTGTTACATTCCCCCCACTCCACACCAACTTTTGGCAACCACTGATCAGCTCTTGCTTTGGTTTTCTTTCTTAAAATGTCATGTAAATTGAATCATATGGTATAAAAACCTTTTAGATTGCTTCTTTCACTCAGCATAATACTTTTGGGATCCACCCATGTTGCTGCATGAGTCAACAGCTTATTACCTTTTATTGCTGAACAGAATTTGATGGTGTGGATGGCCACCAAACTTTGTTTATCCATTCACTGACTGAGGGACATCTGGGCAGGTTCAATTTTGGTGATTACAAACACAACTACTATAAACTTGCATGCACAGGTTTCCGTGTGAACACACATTTTCAATTCTCTAGAGTAAACACCTAAGAGAGGGATTGCTACGCAATGTTTGAGAAACTGCCCAACCATTTTCTGGAGAGGCTGCGCCATTTTGCATTCTCACCAGCACCATATGAGAGTTCCAGTTGTTACTCATGCTTGCCAGCACTTGATACTGACCCTATAAATTAATTACTGCCATCCTAATATGTACATAGTAATTTCTCATCATCTTTTTAGTTTTCCTTTCCCTAATGACTAATGATATCATACATCATTTCAGGTGCTAATTTGCCACCTGTATATCTTTTTTCAAAGAAGTTGATGTTAAATCTTTTGTCCACTTAAAAAATTGTGATGTTTGCTTTCTTACTATTGAGTTTTGAGAGTTCTTGAAACTTCTAGATTCAAGTCTTTTGACAAATATGTGGCTTGAAAATATGTTCTCCCACTTTGTC